ATGTCGAAAGATGCCTACCTGATCACAACATTGAAATATATCACCTTGTAACTGCTCCTTAAACTTACATGGTTGAATGACCAAATCTGTCAACACAGTCTAAGAGGGGTATTATGCAAAATCTACTTTATTGATCTTTATGTTGTGTTATAATGTCAGTCCCTCATTAAAAACGCTCCTAAATCATGACTTTGAATCATTCATGAATATTTGAGTAATCTTGAATCTCCTGTGGTAGACATTGTGGGGTGCTAAAACGCTCTGTTTTGCGAAGCCCCAGCCCTTTTGCGTAGCTCCGCCTCTGTCCCCCGTCTGCTACTGCACCGCTCCTCCCCCTCCAGCTCCGGCAAAGACTCGCGTCTACGGCTATAGTTCTCCGGATTACAAAATGACTTCTACAAGGAGAGAGCCTTCTCTTTACGCTTCCCAAGGATGACACGCTTCGTTAAAAATGGCTAAAAAGCTTATGTATTATTTCATAGCAAAACATAGTTTCATTATGATGCATATTTTCAATTTCCCAGTAAAATGCTGCCACAAAATGGTGTAAATTTACAAGATGTTATTTACCAAGCAGACACGTCTTGAAAAAGTCTCTGTACTTGTTTCGGTTCCGCCAAGAACTCTGGGTCAGACGAAGGATCTGGACATGATTTTAATGTTTTTACTATGAAAATGTAGCGGCGCTCGGAAAATGAAAACAAACGGTGGCAGTGCGCATGGAGTATGACGCACTGAAGGGGGCGTGTCGGAAAGAAGGAGGGGGCTCTTAAAGAGACAGGTGAATATCAGGGCGTTACGCACAGCCAAGATGCTGAGTCAAATTTTTATGAGGTTGTTTATGACAAATACAGCGATTACAATACAACTGCAGGTAAAATTGTTACTAGAGTGTGCTATAAAACGACACTATATGCCTGAAACACATACAATACCCCCCCCCCTTTAAGATTTATCAAGGAAAGAAGAAATGAGAGTGGAAAAAACAATCCCATGGCCCTTCATTGACCAAATTTTGTCAAGGACAAGGAAAACCCCAGTCGAGTAGCATGGAGAAGAGTGATCCTGGTATGCTAGGTAGTGGGTACACAAGTCTTTGGAGATTTAATGGTATGTTGAGTGTAACCCCACCTTCAGTTCAACCAACTTCACAATTAAAGCTTACAATCATGAGATTAAAACCAAACTGACCAAACATCTAGTTCAACTAGTTTTTCAGGTATTAGAGGCTAGCCATAGTAGTGCTGCATGCCGCACCATGCCAATTATGGCGTAATCAAAGGAATGCTGATGGACGTTGCGCACATGATCCTTGATCAAACACCTCACTTTTATAAAGCTCCACACCAAAACCTACTGTCAAGATCTTCCTGAAATGTCTAGTTCCTTAAACTTCCTGCAGTCATCTCTTACATTTCAAAAAAGGCCTAGGAAAGGTCAGTTGTCCTGTGCTCCTTTATCATCTTCTAGTTTAATTCAGCCTCTAAATCCAATATTATCTAGCTGCAATTGCAGAGTGCCACCTTGTTAGGCACTGCACTGTTAGTCCCCAAGCTAATTAGAGAATTAGATTCACCTCTATGGCTAGAGTTTGGGTTAGGACTAGGTCTTCAAATACTGGAGGATGCTGTTTGACAAAGCTCAGGGCCCAACTGTGTGGTAGCTAATGAGTCCCCACTCTGGCATTGCAGCTGGATGCTACTCTTTAGAAGACAGTACTGCTAAGAAGATCATCATTGCGCCCTTACCGACCCACCAAGAACTGTGGACTTCCTGAGTGGGAGTGGAAAAATTAGTCTGGATCAGTCTCACCCAACCCCTTCAAACTCTTATTCTTTGGTTGGCATTTCAATTCAGAGCTCTGAACATCAGGACAATCCCATCATAAGGAAGCTTCTACCCCAGGTCTTCCCTCTTTTCAACAACCTGTTTCTTACTGCTCAACTCGGCTCGACTGGATGTGCTCTTGGGGATTTTACCACCGTGTTCCGTGCTGCATTCCGTTTAGCAGCATTTTTTGGTAGCCATTTGGATTTGTATTTGAAAACAGGCAAAGTTGGGCCAAAACGAAACTTGTCCCACTTTTCTTTTCTTTGAACAAGAGTGTGACACAAGATCCAGTTAATCGCTGACTGGTCAGTAGTTGAGGTCAGTGATTAGCCAGAAAGAATTGTCAAAAGTATACGTCATTAAACGTAACATAACAGTCAACACATATCTGCTAATAGCCAGCAAGCAATTCAACTGTTAGCATGTGCTGGTTTTTATAAGAAAATGGACAAACAAGCAGGTGCAGACCTTCCTTTCGTCTGTGTCCAGTGAGAATTTCATAGTGAAAAGGAAAATAAAAAGGTTTTCAAAGAGTCTCATCGCTCCAATTAACATTCTTTGGAGCTTGTCCCTGAGCTGTTTAGCTGTTTATATTGTATTGCTACTTTATGGCATTTCAGTAGTAATGACTTAGTAATCTGGCAACTCGACCATACATTGCATTTTTCTTCAATTGTCTCCTTATTGTTTTCCTTTTCCGTAATAAGTCTGGCCTAGAAAATGAAGAGATTGAATGTGATTTTAAAAATAGTGTAAACGAAAAAGATTACAATTAGAACAAAATGAACAATGTATTATTTAAAACAAAATAATGTAATGACATCTTGTGCGATTAAACTGAATTTAAGTGTATTTTTATTAGCCAAAGCATTGAGTTTGCAGACCTAAGCAAACTTAAATGTGGTTCGTATAGCTTTAAAAAAAAAAAACATTTAGCAGGAAATCCATATTTGGTTAAAAGTGGGCGGGCACAAACGAACTTAATTTTATAACAGAACCTTTGAATCCAATGCAAGTCATTACTGTACAAAACGCAACATTATCGTTTTGTGACACACTATTCAAGAATTAAACTATTTTAAATAACGCAATAATAGTATTAGGATATATGTGTTGTGCGTATAAGTCCAAGTATATCATTACGCTTTTAAAAAAAGCACATATTCCTCAGAAACTTTCGTTTATCACAAAATGTGAGTCATGCGCTCTTATTTAACGAGGCGCGGCGTCAATAAAAATGACGCAGGCGTGACGTAGCCCCTCCCAACACAAATACACTCAAAGGACAGCTTGACGAAAACAAGGAAGTAACCAGGAAAAGACGAGGAACTTTGCGTAATTCTCACATTTATCGTCGTATAAACGCATAATTTTGATTGTTTGTACTATTTTCCAATAATATAGTTCACCTGCACTGACGAAAAATGAACAACAAAGGTCAGTAATTCTCGATCACACCCGTTCTTCTTTTATTTTGATTAGCCGTATGCTAGCAGTCTACCACTGGAGTTAGCATTTCTGGCTTACATAAACGACATAACATGCAACAATTTTATGATGTGTATGAATTCAAAACCTTTCTTCGGTTTTAATGTGACGGAAACGTCAATGTTTAACGGGGTTTGGTCTTATTTTTGTGCATTTAGCTCTTAAGGTTGCCCAACGTTAGCTTGGTTTCCACAGGCGATGACGTGCATGGAAAGGTGACCTCATTACGAGAGGGAGACGTTGAAAACAATCGTGACATAATTAACTTTATTTATTAGCTTGAAAAGAATTGGCGATGTTTGTATAATACGTACATTTTCGGTGTATTCGGTCTTTTTTCACAGAGTTGTTTTAAGTGTTTTGTTGATTTATTTACTTTGTGTCTCTGATACATATAATTATGTGTTTATTAAGACCCTTTTTATAGATAAAAATTTTTTCATGCAGAAAATCGTAGGACACGCCTCCCTCCCCGTCATCGCATTGCCACATTCAGATACTGGTCACGTGTTTACATTTACCCAGATTGCAGGTCACCAGTTATTGTATAAATACTAAGAGAAAATGTTTGTGTGGTCAAAATGTAAGTGTATCCTCATTTTCCTCCCCATTACACTGCTCATGAATATTTATGCATGCGTAAAGAGTCTTGAAAGCCATTCTATTTTAAATTTGTGAATGCTGGACAAGTGGAACAGTAAGAACTTCGAACATTCACGCATTTAGCTCTCATTCTCCTGAAGTGTTATCTCTTACAAGTTACACAATAATTACCCCTACTGGGGGGAGGACGGGCTCTCTAGTTCGTTCCGATCCCCTGTTCTTGAGAAATGGCAAAACTTTGATAAAAGAATCTAAAAACAATGCCAGTGAGAGTCTAAATTGGTTAATTTGTAAAATTCTTTTTTATTTAAATTCCACACCAAGCTAAGGTTTTCAGCTGTATTTTATGGTTAAAGTTACCATTATTACTCATAGAAAATTATCACGGTAGTTGTATGCCCTCGGATAACCTTAAAGACAAATTGAATTAATTCAACTAGTGAAGACTCTTACTCAATTTCCCTGATCCCTAAAAAAAGAAAAGTATTCAGAAGAGAAAAATGCATTAAACTGGATCGGGGAAGAGCTGGTGGCTACTATTGGTGCAACTTGGGTTCTCAGAACACCTGAACAGTGCCAAAGACTAATCAACTCCATTCCATGACGTATTGCAGCAGTGATTCAGGCAAAATGAGCCCCAACTAAGTATTGAGTGCTGCTCATGCGTTCCATGACCAAGCCTTTTTTACCATTTTAAAAATGTCTCAAGCAATAGTATAATTTCCCAAGTTACAGATTAAGGGATTTTCATTAGTTATATTGACTTGTAAAGTCGTTTTTTGCTTCGGACAAAATAAATCTTCCCTCAAGACCGTTTCAGCTACAGCCACCAAACTTGGCCAAGACATCCAAACTGGTCTCATTCTGGATGCCATATATTTTCAAACTGGTACCACTAAAGGGATTCTGGGAAGCTCACGGAAATCTCAAACTGGCCACAATTGTGGAGGCACTCACCAAGAACACCCCAACCACAATGCGAAAGTAGAACCAGACTCTTAGAAAGGGTTAAATATTTACCATTGGTGCATAATGTCCATTTCACATAAATATATCAAAGAAATGGGAGTTTGTTTAAGTTTCTTGAGGCTCAGTTGGTAGAGCATTGTGTTAGGTACACAAAGGTTGTGGGTTCAAATCCCAGGGAAAAGAAGAACTGACAAATGCACAAATGTAATGTAACAAATCCCTAGAAATTAACTGTTTATTCCAGCAACCAATTTTACACATTTCGATCTCAGGGTAGGAAAGCCATAGTGATGTGGGGTTGATTTGTTTCACTCAATGCTGGGGACATTATCTGATGTCACTGACCCCTCCATAGCAACCAAGCTGTTTACTATAGCAACCAATTTCCATATCAGCTTAGGAATGTCATGGAGATATGGGGTTTCGGTTGTATTACATTAAGAACAGTTAAAAATACTTTTAAATTGCACTTTTACCAGCACTTGTTATTGTTTGAATTATAATCGTCAAAATGAATGGAATGAATTTGTGAAATACTGCTCTCTGTGAATGTATAGATTAAACAAGTTTAACTTGTTGGAATGGAATCAATCAATAAAGCTTTTATTTGTGAAATACACTGTTACATGCAGCGAAATTGGGCCCCTTTGACCAAATCACAGACACAGGGAAGGACGGGTCATCATAGGAATAGATACGATAGGAATCGTCAATACCCCGCCTAATCCAATCAGCAGAAACCCTGTTATCAAAGCGCAGAATAAATAAATATCCTCAACATCCTCCAGGGACAGAACGGCCAGGCACACGTCACGCCACTTCTCCCTTCCGTCCATCGTGTAGCCAGCTGCAGCCAACGTTCCGGGAGAACAGTTGGGTTCCCCGAGCTCAGACTTCTCATCTAGGGTCTCTCAGAGAACAGATAAACAGCAAGGGGAGATATGGAGAGAGAAAGATGCGACTGCCTTCGTCAAGAGCTGAAGGGACATTCTAATTTTATGACCAGCACTTATATTTTAATAACATAATGGGAGTCAACATTCAATCTTAAGTGTCCTTTGACTTTTTGTCCATCCTTTGACTTTTACACCACAGAATAAATGTTTGCAAGCGTCAACTTTTGCTTTCTGTTCCATACTTTCTCGTCATGTGATGTTTTTTTTTTTTCTTTTCTCAGCTCTTTTGGTCTATATTTATGTGTATGCAGAATTTTAAAATGATACCTTATGTTTTAATCCTGCTGAGGGACTTTCAATTTAATTTTGCGTTCCATGTATATATGCAATTTTTTCATCTCTACCAAACGTATTAAGTGGGGTTTAGCATTGTGGTGATACTCCTACAGAGTTATTATTGTTTTAATAGCTATTCATTCTCGTCTGCATGCAGGTTCTTACCCACAGCAAGGTGTTTATCCTCAGCAAAGCACAGCACCTGTTTACCCACCTGCTATGCAAGTTCCTACTCAGGTGTCTGCTTACCCTGACGCTCCTCCACCATACTCTGAGGTTAGTAGAGCTAAGTTATGTGGAATAAATCTTTTGTACAAAAGCCAATTTTTCATAAAAGCTCTAGAACAGGGGTCTCCAACCTGTTGCCCGCGGGCATCTTGTCGCCCGTGAGGACCACACAAGTCGCCCGCCACCTGTTCTAAAAATAGCTCAAATAGCACCACTTTCAGGGAGCCGAATATAATTTAATATGATTGCTATTCTTGTTTAAATGACACTTGCACATGAGCTTGATGTGATTATTTATAAATAAAAAAAAATTATATATATATATATATATATATATATATATATATATATGAACTACAACCGGGAAAAGTTGAAAGGTCGGTATGATGCGCTACGACGAAACAATTAAGCAGCGAAAATGAGACGACCGACTCATGGAAAGATCATTTAATATTCGCAGCCTTTACCTCAGTTATGGTCTTTTGTTGTTCATTTTTTATAAAAAAAAAAATATCAAAACAAAGATCAGATTAATAGATTATGGGAACTATTGCAGTTGCAGGCCTAGAAATTTTTAATTAACCCAAGAAATGGTCTAACCTGCTTGCAATTCATCGACTGGCCACTTGAGGCTGGTGTCAGACGTTATCAGATTTTCATTGGCAGCCATAACAAAAGTGCTATAAAGCAGAAAAACATGCACTAACAATTTTTTTTTGTCATATCATTAATTTAGATGCTAAGCCTCAAACTTTCATCTTCATCTGCTTCCCGCCTCTTTCTACCAAAATTATGATTAATCAGTTTGGCCCTCGTGGACACCACATCCATTGATTTGTAGTCAATCGTTAGTTGATGACGCTTGGTGTTTTTGTTGTCTCAAGTGAACAAAATGAATCTGGCCTTACAGGTTTATCAGACCAGATACATGGCTCCTCCTCCAGGTCCTGGACAGATGCCCCCAATGACCTCAGCTTACCCTGGTACTCAGATGTACATGCCCATGCACGGCCAATCTGTTTCAGTGGGGGGCATGGCTCCTAGTGTCCCAATGGCCTATTATCCAGTAGGTCCTGTGTACCCCCCTGGCTCCACTGTCATGGTGGATGGTGGATTTGATGCTGGAGCTCGGTTCGGTCCTGGTACCAGTGCTTCTATTCCTGTGAGTAGCCTACTTGATCTGTTTCATCATCCATTTATTCTTAGAACTATTTTAGGAAATCTATCCTATTCTAGACGCTTTAAATTCTTTCTTTATATTGTCTTTCTGTGTGCTGTTTTTTTTTTTTTGTAGCAGAAAAACACTACTAGCTAATGTGTGATCTCACTAGTGGTCACAGGATTTCACTACCATTGACACTACTTAATGACACTTGGATGTAAATAATTTATTTCAAGTTTATTGGACTTGAAACATATAAAGAGTTTGGCTCAATGTTTACTTCCAATACAAATGGTTGTGTTGGATAAACCCAATCTTGCCTTTCTCTAACATATTTCTTCTAAATAAATATTTTCAAATAGAAAGAAGACTGGAAGACTGACCAAGTCTAATTTTCTTTATTTTTTTTGAGCATTATAAGATGATTTTATTTAGTCTTAAATCGAGAAATTGAGTTTTTGAAGAAAAATTTATTGGATGCAAACTTCGTCAAAGTGTAAGCTGTGTTGTCTGACCACATGATGGCGCTCTGCATTTCATTTCAGTATCAGATGTTTGTAGAAATCTGAAGTACAGCAATAGCGTTTTATAGACACTGGGAAAAAACTGACTTGGTAAATAAAATAAAAAAATCGAATTGGTAAAAACGAGAAGACTGCTAATTAATTTCTTTACAAAACCGCCCAGCCATATATTTTTTGAAAGATTATTTATTTTTGGGGCCGTAGGCTTTTTTAAGTAACACAAAGCAAAGCAAAGCAAAGCGGGGAGAGGGGCAGAGAGAGAACATGACTGAATAGGACAGACAACTGGATCAGGAGTCAAACCCGCATCACCCTGTGTTTATGTGTCCTGCGTGCTATCCACTACACACGCTCTAGCCTCCCTGTATATGAAACACCCACACAGTCTGGCATGCACCTCCCAAAAATGTAACTTTGCGCAGCGTAGACATGGACCATACACTCTGTTATTGGCTGGTTTGGTAGCAGGAGTGGCTCATACATATCCGAGTGTCTCCGCCATAAGAAAAACACCATGGATCAAATCACTTGAAGACAAAGTACAAAATAGAAAGATCATCAGATAGTTATTTATAACATTTAAAATGTCCCAAAGAAGCAATCCACACAGAGAAACACTGCTCACTAATGGTCATAAAATGATATTGCAGATTGGCTACGTATGCACGCAGCTGTTTAATTTGGGCTTTACTCTATAGTTACTTCTCCACCTTCTCAAGTAGTTACTTTAACAATCATGTAACTAAAACTAGTTTACTTTTTTTGTAATGTCACTCTGTGCTCAGCAAAAATGAGCACACCTCACTACATTTGTCAGAATGTTTTCTTTTAGGAATTAACATGCTGTCAGCCACGGCTCCCCATGTAAGAGAAATGTCACAAATTCTAAGCAAGGAAATCTTTCCTTCACACAAAAAGTGAGGGCTACAAGCTTTACATATTAGTCAAAATACTGCAGCAACAGTGAGGCACAATGTAAGAAAGATGGAAGACGTCCATGGATGTTAGCATCTCCACAGGAGCATAATCTGGTGAAAAGGGTTGAAGAAAATCGCCTGCAAGTTAGCTAAAGCAGTAGAAAGCCAAACTGTTTCCTGTGACACCATAGGGCACACACCGCAGAGGAATGGCATGCATGGGTATCGTCCACGAAGGAAGTCTCTCTCAAAGCCCATGCACTAAAATACATGGTATTTGCTCATGCTGAAAAAGGTGAAGACTACTGGGTCTCTATTCTCTCATAATCTGATGAGACAAAAAGCACTTTTGATCTTTGAGACGGATCACCCTTCGAGCTAATGCTTTGGAAATTGTCTGGCGTAATAAATGTGAGGTTTTGAAAGAAAAATACATGGAAACTTACCATGGGAATTAGGGCTGAACGATATTCTGTTTTGACATCGACGTCGCGGTAGTCACATCGCCTGGAATATACAATTTGAGGGGTAGAAGCCCATGGTGTATAACAGAACGCTAGCAAAACACGAGTTTGTTGTATGGCTTGTTGCAAGGGTGACCTGCATTTTCTGCTTGGCTGCACAGTGATTGGTTCGTTGTGACGCCGCTCACATTCACTACTAAAAATGTGCAACGAAGAGGATCCGTCGCTAAAATATGATTTTGTACCAAAAAAATAGTCGAAATCATCTATTTGGGACTATTTCTACTACAAAAAGGAGGTACTTTTTGTGGATTGTCAGAAAGTTGTGGCCACGAAACATGGAAACACCACCAATTTGTCTGATCACTTAAAACGGCATCACAAAGCTCTTCACGACGAATACAAAGCCAAATCTGGATGTCGACCAAAATAAACAAATATTTGTGATGCCTTTGCCAGTGTGACACCTTACCAGAGAGGCTCTGGTAAAGATATGTTGCCATTAAATACCGTCGCCAAAGAGGGATTTAAAAAAAATTAGCCCAACGCTTGACAGGCGGTATGTTATATCACCCTGCACATATTTTTTCCCCCAAGTTGCGATAAAAGAGCTGTAGGAAAAATGCAAATCTAAGATTGAAGCAGAACTGTTGC